TTAATTTATATTTTTGTAACTAATTTTTATGTCATACAATGTAGGTTCCATTGATAGTTAATTGTAATCATACCCCGGGATTACATCTGTGGTGTGGTTTTGTTCATTACATCGGAAACCGAGTCAAGAAATGAAAAGCTTATTACAAGGGTAACTTTATCTTTTATTCATTAATTATGTTTTTAAATTGTAAATACATATTGAATAATATATGACTTTTTTCACTTAGAATCGTGTATCGGAACTAATGTTCTAAGTGGAAAACCTAGAACAAAGACTTTGCAGTTCATTTATCCTAAGGTTAGAAACATATTTATATAAGTGAATACCATAATTATTGTTTGTATTTAAATTTTGAAAATAACATTATGTTTTTTTCATCATTTCGATGTAATAAGCAAACAGACTCGTTTGAATGTGGTTATTATGTTATGTATTGGATGAGAGCCATAGTTTGTGCGGGTATAATTGATTCTTGGATGGAGGTAATTGCTTTTAACATTAGTTAAGTTTATTTAACTTTATTCATGTTGCATGTTTACAAGAGTCAAATTAATGTTTCAGGTATTTCAAGATCCATCTCCATTACTGAGAATATGATATTACACAAATTAGAGAACAATGGGCAAAATTTTTTGTTCAACAATTCTAGTACATAATTTTTTAAGTTCTTGTTCATATTATATTGTGTGTATTATGTAGTTTAGGTAGCTTAGTTTGTATTAAATTTTAGTTTGTAATAGATTTTTTAGTTTGTCTCGTTTGTATTATATTGTTTTATTATGTAGTTTGAATTATATAATATTATATTTTTAATTTACTAGCTAAAGAAAATTGAACCTCTGGACTATCTGGTTATAATATATATTTGCAGGTTTTAGTTGTAAAACAGAATCAACCCAATTTTAAAAAAAAACAGCAAATTTACGTCGCATATACCATATGCGACGTAAATTTACTGTTTTTTTTTTTAATTTCTGAAAGTTTTTACATCTGTTTAGTGCTATATGCAATGCAAAATTACGTCGGGTCTTGATAACTGACGTAAATTTACGTCGGGCTAAAGGGTCCGACGTAAATTTACGTCTCCTGTTTTAACGTCAGTCTTAAATACGACGTAAAAAACCCTAAATACCTGACGTAAAAGCCCCTTTTTGCACTAGTGTAAGAATTGATATCTACATCAACTTGATGTAGAGAACGCTTTCCTACATGGAGAATTAAATGAAAATGTGTATATGATATATTCTTTAAGATTTAAGACTTACAAACAAGGTCAAGCTCGCAAATTAACCAAGTCCCTATATGGATTTAAACAAGCATGCAGACAGTAGTTTGTTAAACTATCCTCATTTATCATTTCAATTAATATTACTTAATCTAAGTCTGACTACTCTCTCTTTTTTAAGAAATCTTTTACAAAATTTATAGTTTTTTTTTTATGTATATGATATTATTTTGAGAGGGGACTCTCTAGTTGAAATTGAGAATATAACAACTTTTTTGCATAACAATTTTTTCATTCAACCGTGGATTGTTGCAAAGTTTCCTCTTCATACCATATTCAATAATCACTACTACAAATAAAGCTTTTAACGTCGGTTCTAGAAGGCTTTCAACGTCGGTTGTTGAACCGACGTTGTATCAGGCGTATATGCGACGTAAATTTACTGTTTTTTTTTTAATTTCTGAAAGTTTTTACATCTGTTTAGTGGTATATGCAACGCAAAATTACGTCGGGTCTTGATAACTGACGTAAATTTACGTCGGGCTAAAGGGTTCGACGTAAATTTACGTCTCCCGTTTTAACGTTAGTCTTAAATACGACGTAAAAAACCCTAAATACGTGACGTAAAAGCCCCTTTTTGCACTAGTGTAAGAATTGATATCTACATCAACTTGATGTAGAGAACGCTTTCCTACATGGAGAACTAAATGAAAAAGTGTATATGATATATTCTTTAAGATTTAAGACTTACAAACAAGGTCAAGCTCGCAAATTAACGAAGTCCCTATATGGGTTTAAACAAGCATGCAGACAGTAGTTTGTTAAACTATCCTCATTTATCATTTCAATTAATTTTACTTAATCTAAGTCTGACTACTCTATCTTTATTAAGAAATCTTTTACAAAATTTATAGTTTTTTTTTTATGTATATGATATTATTTTGAGAGGGGACTCTCTAGTTGAAATTGAGAATATAACGACTTTTTTGCATAACAATTTTTTCATTCAACCGTGGATTGTTGCAAAGTTTCCTCTTCATACCATATTCAATAATCACTACTACAAATAAAGTTTTTAACGTCGGTTCTAGAAGGCTTTCAACGTTGGTTGTTGAACCGAGGTTGTATCGAGCGACGTTGAAAGTCGTAACTTTCAACGTCGGTCACCGACGTTGAAAGTTACGACTTTCAACGTCGACATTGAAAGTTACGACTTTCAACGTAATATATAAATACAAATATATTTATATTTTTTGATATATTTATATAGTTATATATTTATATGTTGGATGTGAGGGCACACTCGAAAGTGAAAGTGTGTGTCAAGTGAGTTTTCAAAATTTGATGCTAAATTTGTGAGCAAGTATCTTTATAATATTAAAAAGTGTATATGATATATTCTTTAAGATTTAAGACTTACAAACAAGGTCAAGCTCGCAAATTAACCAAGTCCCTATATGGGTTTAAACAAGCATGTAGACAGTAGTTTGTTAAACTATCCTCATTTATCATTTCAATTAATTTTACTTAATCTAAGTCCGACTACTCTCTCTTTATTAAGAAATCTTTTACAAAATTTATAGTTTTTTTTTTATGTATATGATATTATTTTGAGAGGGGACTCTCTAGTTGAAATTGAGAATATAACGACTTTTTTGCATAACAATTTTTTCATTCAACTGTGGATTGTTGCAACGTTTCCTCTTCATACCATATTCAATAATCACTACTACAAATAAAGTTTTTAACATCGGTTCTAGAAGGCTTTCAACGTCGGAACCCTTTTATTTATCTAGAAGTCTCCCTCTCTTTATATTATATTTTTTAGAAGTTTATTAATTTATTAAGAGAATTATCATTGGCAGGATTTGAACCCAGGACCTTAGAGTTTGAGGTCGATACTCCAACCACTAAACTACTAGAATTTTCTCGATAATAACTTACAAATAAATTATATTTATATACAAATAAATATATATCCGTGTAAATATATAAATACAAATATATTTATATATGTTGATATATTTATATAGTTATATATTTATATGTTGGATGTGAGGGCACACTCGAAAGTGAAAGTGTGTGTCGAGTGAGTTTTCAAAATTTGATGCTAAATTTGTGAGCAAGTATTATATGAGTTTGTAATTTAATGACAGAATATAATCTTTATAATTTTATTTATATAATGATATAAAATAAATTTGGGAAATGCATCATTCGTTCTCAAGCGAAAAATACCAATTTTCGCTCAAGCGAGGCTTGAGTAAGTGAATTTCCATGAGCTTTAACATATTTTCACTCAAGCGAGAGTCAATCCAACTTTCACCCTTAATCGAAAAATACCAATATAATTTATTTGTAAGTTATTATAAAAAAATTATAGTAGTTTAGTGATTGGGATATTAACTTTCAACTCTAAAATACTCGGGTTCAAATGCTGTCAGTGACAATTCATTAACTTAAGTGAATTTTTGGCTGAAAAAAAATAAAAATACTTTCCAGAAAATATATACAAATAAATATATATTTACATGGATATATATTTATTTGTATATAAATATAATTTATTTGTAAGTTATTATCGAGAAAATTATAATAGTTTAGTGGTTAGAGTATTAGTTTTCAAGTCTAAAATCCCGAGTTTGAATCCTGCTAGTGACAATTTAAGTGAATTTTTGGGTGAAAAAAAAAGACTTTCCACGTGAAAAAAAATTCATTAACTTAATGTTTAAATTTTTGGGTGTCAATAAGTGAAAAAAAATTAAAAAAAGACTTTCAACGTCGGTTCCCATTCATATGGGAACCGACGTGAAAGTACTTTCTACGTCGGTTGACTAAAAACCGACGTAGAATGTGTTTAATATTCAACTTTCAACGTCTGGCTCATCCGGGAACCGACGTGGAAAGTACTTTCTATGTCGTCTCAACTATAAACGACGTTAAATGACGACGTAAAAAGTATATTTTGTAGTAGTGAATATTTACTTAATGTTAAAACATGTGTTAAAATTAAATTCAAATTATTTTCTACTTAAAATAACTGTGGAGTAGAAATTGAGGTAGTTAAATATTTTTTATGTTAATACTCTATTAATGTACAAGTGGAATAATATACAAACATAACAGTGAATAAAATAGGAAGGAAATACCAAAACTCAAAATAAATTCTTCAAACCCATCTCCTTTCTTAATAACATACAATAATAAAAGTGACTTAAACTATAATTTAAAAGGATTTAATCTAATGAAAATAATCATGATTGAATTTTAAAAACAAACTAAAAAATAAGATTAATTGATAAAGGAGTTTTTTTATATTAAATTAAAAATAATTGTCAATAAATTACAACAATTAATAGAGTCATGAATGTTGTCTTTCAAACAAAGAAACATGTTTTTTAAAGTAGAGAAACATGTTTTTGAAATATATAAAGACATTCAGAATAATAACATGAAACATGATAATTATTTTATATTTGTGATAATATATATTTGATTTAGTGATATTAAATGTTATAATATAATGATATACTAGGATAATTACTATGTTTTTAAAATTATTATGGCAAATTTAACTATCATTTTACGTAACTTTTTAATAGGCCAAAAATTCTATTATAAAAAATTATATATATTATTATATTAAATAACTGTATTTTTTTTAGTTTTGTTGAATTTTAGTTAGGCATTCATTTGTTAACATAGACCACTTATATTTTGTACTAAGAATGAATTTTGAAAGATAATAGATAAAAAAAAAACTACATAAAAAATGGTAAGTTTCAGTTCGTTGGAATGTATTTTTATTTCTAGAGAATTTAAGATTATTTTTAATGAGTTATAATTTTGGATTATGAATTGTCATGTATTTTTAATATTTTGGATAATTTAAAAAAAATAATTAGAACATAATAATGATGAAAAATGAGTTATAAACTTTTTTATATATTTTTTAAAAATCATGTTTATATTTGTATTTAATCAATGATGAAAAAAATATTTACGTTGATAATACTTGCAAAATAAATTTATTTTCAATATATCTATCACATATTTAGAATGTATTGTCCAAAAAAAAAATCAATATATTTCAAATCATAAAGATTAAAGTTAAATTTTCTCATATTTATTATTGTATTTGAATCAATCTTAGCGACATTGGATTGCAAAAAATTGCAATTATTCAATATCACTTGATATTACTTATGCTATCACCTTGAATAAATACATGAAATATATTGATATTAGCGACATTAAGGATTTCAAGTTTAAAAACAATTTGTAAATTATAATTATAAAGAACAGGCCTCTTAATATACATACTAAATAATAATTTATAGAATATATTTCTTTATCAGACATTACATCAATGGATAATTAGTTTTCCAAAAAATTATTCTCTTACCCTATTAAGTTGATTTTGCATTTATACAAACTGAGTTTTTCATTAATTATTTAATTTAATTTAAGTTTAGAGGATAAAAGAAGTAATAATAGTGGCAATATGTGTTAGATTCCTTGACCATTTTTATCTGGTGAAGAATTAAATAAAAAGCTTTAATCCAGCGTGTTTGGTGCTTCTTTTATTTTGAGGCGCCGCCAAACGTGACTGAATTTTACAATGTCACTAACGCTGTTAGTTTCCGAGATTTTGCGTACCGTTGTAGTGCACCCGTGTCCTAGAAGTAGAGCGAGTCGGCTAAGTCATTGTTGAAAACCACGCGCAAGGCGCGTCACACCCAACTATTCATTACTTCGTCTTCCCATTTCAATTGTCGAAATTAATCACAAAAACCATTTAAAGTCATCGTCGTCATCACCATCCATTATAATTTTCCCTTCCATTTCTCTCAGAATCCAAACCCTACAAAATTGCTCTTTCGAAGTAACCCTAGATTTCCCCTGCCAAATCTCTAAACTTCCTCCCCATTTTCGGGATTCCACGCCAGATCGCAGATCCCGTTAATTTTCTACCCGTACCCGATCGGGTTTGGATTCTGAAGAAGAAAACTCAATTACGCAAAATTCCGAGGCATTGCTGCTGTCCTGGCTTTCGTATGGGTAAGATTCTGAGAGAAACCGCGAGGCCGTCCTTTAGTTGTTCGTCGGCGTCACCGTCGTCCGCGCCACCGGCAACGACGTCGTCGACGTCGGTGACCGACACGGTGAAGGGATCGCACCGGTTCAAGATCACGGGGTATGCTCTGTCGAAGGGGATTGGGATTGGGAAGTACATAGCGTCGGATATATTTTCGGTGGGAGGGTACGATTGGGCAATCTATTTTTACCCTGATGGGAAGAGCGTGGAGGACAATGCTACGTACGTTTCGCTCTTTATCGCGCTCGCTAGCGAAGGGACGGATGTTCGGGCGCTTTTTGAGTTGACCCTTTTAGATCAGAGTGGGAAGGAGAGGCATAAGGTGCATAGCCATTTCGAGAGGACCCTCGAGAGTGGACCCTACACGTTAAAATACCGTGGTAGCATGTGGTGAGCAAGTTGGGCACGCGACGTGTATTTTTTTATTTTTCTAAATTGTCCATAATTCAAAATTGTTTTCCATTTACTGGATTGGTTCTGATTGTAATATGTTGCTGGGTATTGTGTTTGTATGAGGAAATTAGAGAGTGGCTGGTGGGATTTTGCTTAAACGTGGAAGGAACATGTTGTGGGTTTAAATGTTTTCGGAGGAGGGATTGAAGAAATGAATGGTAATTTTGTTTTTTGAAGGGAAACGGTTGGGGTTTTTGTTGTTTGGCAGGGGGAGGGTTCATGTTGTTCAAGAAGTATCTTTTCATAATTTTCTATGTCTTGCTAAACTGAACCTTAGTTATTAATTCTTCAGATTGCATGTGGGTGGGGGTTGGTTTATGGCCCTTTACTTAAACAACACAATGCGATCATACCTTCAAATCAGAGCATGAAAGGTGATAAGAGCTAATCTTGACCACACAACCATACATGGATGGTAAAACTCGAAACTAATCTCGATCATTTGTGTAAGATGATTAGATGGTCAAAAATCCTAATTAGCTCTTTTCACTCGTTCTATTTGCTTCGGGAGTATGTGTATGTACATTGAAATTAACTGTGCTCCATCCACCACTAAATCTATTTTTTAATATATAGATGTTAATGTATGATTTTGCTTTGGCTAAATACTCCTTGATAAGTACATGGAACTTTCTCTGACAAGAAAGCTGAATAGATTGGTCAATATGCTAATTGTTTGAAATTGGGTGTTTCAGGGGTTACAAGCGGTTTTTTAAGAGAACAGCACTAGAGACATCAGATTACCTTAAGGACGATTGCCTTAGTGTTAATTGTAGTGTTGGTGTTGTGAAATCACACACAGAGGGCCCTAAAATATATAAAATTCCAATTATGCCTTCTAACATTGGTCAGCAACTTGGGAAGCTATTAGAAAGTGGGAAAGGCAGTGATGTGAGTTTTGAAGTGAATGGAGAAATTTTTGCCGCTCATAAATTGATATTAGCTGCTCGCTCACCTGTTTTCAGGGCCCAACTTTTTGGTCCTATGAAAGATCAGAATACCCATTGTATAAAAGTTGAAGACATGGAGGCTCCAGTTTTTAAGGTTTGAATGAATGGTCTTTATATGCTTTTGATATGGTTGGAAAATATATTTTGGTTATTCTTGGTGTGTCTATGCCCTGGTATCACATTGTGCTTCATGTTTGTTTAAGTTATTTTCCTTGCTTTTCCCCTTATTACCTTTTTTATGCATACTATGGCCACCGACTTAATGCTCAATGGTACCTTTTATTATGCATTAGTTGGTCTTTTATCTTGAAATGTGTCAAAAAAAATGGTTCAGATGATTGTTATGATCCACATGTCTTATGTTGTATTTCTGTAAAGAGAAATGAGCACATTTTACTGTCAGTTTTGTAATTGTTATTATTATTACATAAGATGAAAATAAAACATGTTTATCTGGTCCTCTCATTCGGAATAGCTGAGCAAAGCATGAAAGCTCCAAAATATGTTTGCCCCTTTACCTTCATTTATGCCACAATATATATATATATATATATATATATATATATATATATATATATATTGGCATTTTCTTTAGATGGTTTTCCACTGAGAAGTGAGATTTGATAGAAATCATATAAGCTTTTTTGAAAGAACCCATAAAAGTTTTTAAGGAACATAGAATGGTTCTTTATAAATTGACTCAGTTATGATTTCTTTTCTGGTTCTGGTTCCTTAGTGCTTGGTTTCTCTTTGACAAGTTGTTCCAGCTGGTTGCGAATATAATTAGTGCTGTAACATTACTGATACTGTATGATATTGTAATGTGGCTTTTTCAACTTAGAATGGTAGATTCACGTGGCTTTTTGCTTTCTATAATTTATGCTTTGGATTGTGAACTTATTCTTGCAAAATCTATAAACAGTTCCATTTTTCTAGATGCTAAAATATTTACTTGATTTTGATCTGAGGTTATAAAACATGATATATCTTGCATAAAATATTGTATTGATTCATTTCTTTTCCTAATTATGCATGGAAAATTGATAAGAAATAACGGTAGTGGGTGATTGCTTTTCTTTGCTTGCATTTTATTGGTTTAATTACTCATTTGGTTTGTCTACTTGTGTACAATTTTTACATTTTAAACCCTATATCTAGAAACTAAATGTATTAGTCCCTACAATGCACTTTTAATTCTGTCTAAACTCAGTTTGGTAAGACCACCAGGCGATGTTGAACTGCCAAAATCTGTCACTTGGACATAATATTTGTGATGGTTTAATGCCCATTAGAAATTTGTGGTGCTTTTACACTGGTAGTTCTCTTTTGTGACGATTTTACCTGACAGAGTTAAGATACACTGAACAGCAGGGAGAAAAAGGACCTAAAGTGCAATATGTAAAAGGGACCAAGCATCTAGCTTCTAAGTAAAGGGAATATAATGTTTAAATTGTGCCAACTATAGAGACGAATGAGTAACTAAATCCTTTCTATATATATATATGTATTTATATATTATATTACCTTAAGAACTGTCCTAGCTATGATATTTATTATTGCATATTGAAATATGTTGAAATCATGTGAAACACAATGAGGATAAACCAGGTAGCTATTTATTTATGCCTTTTATATAATTTTGTATTTGGCTTCTTAGACTCCTATTGTCTTCATATAGTTTACATACTATTATTACATGCGGAACTTATGTATGGTGAGACTGTGGTGTTGTTTACCTTGACAAATGAAGCTTAATGTTATTCTATTGCAAAAGAACTGCAATATGTCTGCTTTACTATACCGTATTTGAATATGTTGTAGGCATTGCTTCATGTTATATATTGGGATTCACTACCTGACATGCAAGAGCTTACTGGGTTGAACTCAAAAGGGGCTACTACATTGATGGCTCAGCATCTACTAGCAGCAGCTGATCGGTATGGCTTAGAGAGACTTAGGCTGATGTGTGAAACAAGTCTCTGTGACGATGTTGCAATAAACACTGTTGCTACGACTCTAGCCTTGGCAGAGCAGCACCATTGCTTCCAACTGAAAGCAGTCTGTCTGAAATTTGTTGCACGGCCTGAAAATCTCAGAGGTATTTTTTTGTTCTTTGAACTTATTTTTCTCTTGAACACGCAGCTAAAAGAGGGTGCAATATTTAGGGAGTAATTGCGACACTGAAAGGTCTCTTAAAACTATGATGAAAAGTTAAATTTGTTGCTGACATGGTGTGTTCCCTGTTTGGTTTGAATGCCATATCTAATCTGAATCAAACTAGATGAGTATTTTGCTTTCTAGTTTGGCTTTATTTAATTTTACTTTTTAAATTATGACCTTTAATATTGCTTAGCATACCAACTAACAAAAATATAGCTAAAAATAATAACCCGTGGAATCAATCACGATCAGTCCTTGAAAGTGACATTTACATAAGCAAAGGCAATATCATCGTAAAAAACTACACATAATAACAACTGCATTGCAAACCCTAAAGTTCATTACAGTAAATGCATTGCCATGTATACTTTACTTTAACATAACCAAAATATCCAAATACATGAAATCACATACTAATGTTATTAAAAGTTCAATATATTACCACATAATGCTATAAATCAATATAACGATATATTGAAGATATGATTCAGTTTGATTTATTTTTAACAATAGGATCCAATAACTGACGGATGTATCAATAAAAATAGTTTTTTTGTTTGATTTCGTCTTTTGTTTTGTTTTTTAATCTGTCTGGCTGTTTAAAATATTTTGGTTTTAGATTTATCACTCATATAATATCTTCCAGTTTGAAGTTGAAGAAAAATATCCTAGGCTATGAAGGATTTCATTGTTGTTGCTTTTAATGATATATTAAAAACAAAAATAATCAGCCAATTTAGTTTTAGTGATCTCAACTTTCTTTATATATGGTCTTAATTCTAAAGCTATACTGATTAGTTGTTTATAAGATGGCTTGTACCCAATATTTTGCTGTGGAAAATTTAGATGAATTGTTGACAGCAACGATATGAAAATTTGTTTGTATCTACTTATTCCTCATCCACAACTACAATTATGTACGGACTGAAGTATTTTCTTCCCTTTTGTTCCTCAGCTGTGATGCAAACCGATGGTTTTGAGTACTTGAAAGAAAGTTGCCCATCTGTTTTGACTGAGCTTTTAGAGTACGTGGCTAGATGTACCGAGCATTCAGACTACTTGTGCAAACATAGGAATGAAGCAATACTTGATGGCAGCGACATAAATGGAAGGCGGGTGAAGCCAAGGCTATAGTGCGAACACTAACAAATATTCTGTATAACTTTCTACCCCTCGCATTTAAAAATTCCTCTGATAGCCATAGATAGAGGGAGATGGTAAACATTTATAGGATTAGTGACAATTTTTAATTTTCTTAGCTTACTCTTCGTGTCTAGAAGATGTAAATGTAGTTTGTTTTGGTGCTGTTGCAGGTCTGTCATGGGTAGGATTCTGTGATAACACTGCTCCTAAAACATGTGTTAAAAGAAAGTATTGAGTACTGCCATGTATTTCTTTTTTATCTCTCGCATTCTTCTTCACCTTAGATTGTGTTTTGGCATCCTACATATTCCCGTAAGGTGTTCCCCAAACAAAGCTGAGGCCTGGGTGAAACACAGATGGCGACGTATTTGCTTGGATATGAATATAATCTGGGAGTAGATGTAACGATAAAATTGACTGAGGAATAATTTATCAATTTATAAGCTAGAAATTACACCATCAAAATATAGTAAAGTAATTCTGTCAATTATACGACCAATAAAACAAATCAGTTTTGGTTGTTACTAATTATAAAAAGTTAGGTACGTTAATAGACGTAAGTTAAAATTTTAGTATTTTCATGTGATACCATTTTTTCTATCCCTATCTGAAAAACTTACATTTCAATATTTAAAGTCAAGAAACATTTATATATGGTGCAAGTCACTTGTAGACGTTAAAATGCTATTAAGTGTGATTCACATACTTAACATTTTGGTTTTTGGTTTCTATAATTTATCATATTCTTGAGAATTTTGTTTTTCCTTACACAAGAAAAAACTCAACATTATTATATTTATAATATCAAAATGATGCAGAGTGATTGGTAAATATTTTTATATGGGATTAAAACATATAACTTTTGGTCATAAAGATAAAAACAAAAAATAAAATCTAGATCTAAAAATTTTTGCAGGTTATTCTGTTTATAAATACGATTGTAAACACACGTAATTGTTGGAATTATTTACTGTTTACCGGTATGTCTGTGTGCACGCGACAAGCATTCTAAAGTCGTATTTAGTGAAAATCAATGTTTTATGTTTTATAGTTGAATGCTTATTTTAGCAGTGTTTAAAAAAAAAAAACTATGATATAAAAATGAGCTTTTTTTTGTATCATAGTTTTTTTAGTCGTAAAAAATGAATAGGAAACTAGTAAAACATGACAATAAAAATGCAACTTCACACACAAAATTTTTAATTTACTATTTGTTATATTTGCCTATTCTTGCTTTCGCTTTTATAATTTGTTTTTTTTTTTAATTTAAATTCAACGTAAAAAGTAATCCAAGTGATGGTTTTATCTTGAAGATCTTCTATTTGTACATTTTTTGGGTTGAATTTCTATGTTCACATTTGGACATTTTGTATATAAATTCTGAATATAGATAATCTTCGGTAGAGGTCCTTTCCTAAAATTTTGTCTACGCTGGCTTTAAACCCTTTCGACCAAAACCCAGCTTTCGACGCAACAGATAGGAATAGCAAACCTTCGCTCATCTTCTTCACTTCACTCTCACGACTCAATCCTCCGTTCTCTTGGTGGTAGTTCGTAACTGTTGCTAATTGCTCTCTGATATAGCTACACTTTAGTTTAGTTTTGCTACTCATTCTTCTACTTCCATTTCAACAAAGGAAGAATCCCTAGTCTATCTCATTGGGGATGAATCTTCTTTCTCTTACATCGCCACTTTCCCTTTATTATTCTTCATTTCCTGCTATAACGAGATTCCCCACCTTTCCCTTTTCATACAAATGCACATCCCCCGCAGGTTAGTCATTGCCGCCGCCTATTTTATATCCTGCTTGTTCTCTTATTAGCCCTCAAAATTGATTATTTCATTTCTCGTGTTTCTCGCTTTTGCTCAGTTTTAAGGAGATGTATCAAAGCGGAAAAAGAAGAGGAGCTTCTAGAAGGGATGCCGAAGGAGTACTACGACGATGTATGCATTCTAAGCACTTTAATTAATTGTAATACTATTCATTTCTGACTTAAGGAATGTTTCGAAAACGTCTCCTTAAACACTTCGAATATAGATCACTAAAATTGAAATTAACTTTTCCATAAGCTGATAATAGTTTGCGTAATAGCTTAATACGTACAAGATATTTTCTATTAGCTTCTCAAAAATATTGTTTTTAACTTATGCACAAGTTTATGGAAAAGATAGTTTCATTTTTTCCTTCTTATTTTTCTCTCTTAAAAGTGTTCATAGATAAGTTTCCTCTAGAACCCTAAATTACTAATTTGTTTCCTTTATATTTAATTTATTTCCTTTATTATTAAGTTTGGTCTCTTAATTTTCAAAATGGATTCTATGTTTGCCCATTCTGTCAGTGTTGCTTAAATTACTAGTGAGGTATCTTGTGTGGCCTCTACTTTTAAATATTTTTGGTGTGCCAATTTTAGAAAATAATGTTGTTTCTCGTGATTAGACGTAAAGGACAATATTACATCAATTTTAAAAACTATTGGATCAAATTGAACTTTTCACTAATAAAAGGACTAAATTGAACCAATTACATAAATAAAAGAATCATACAATTAATTTAACCTTCATCTTTTTATAGTGAAATTCTTACTATTTCTCATTGAATTCTACTTGCAAAGCCCTCATTGGGTATATCTTTGAAGGAAAAATAAAAAATGCTGCTGCTTCAGTTCTAACGTGTTTTTGTTTTGTCTGTCGATTAGGCTGTGTTTCTAGTAGCAAGCTTGGGAATGATAGCATATGATTAGGGAAAATATATCATCAAATCTTTAATGCCTGATGCGATTCTGATTTCATGCTTGTTTTCTGTTTGATAACTATCATCAAGATGATGGGTGGACAGTAAAAGTCTTGGTCGATTAATTATGGGCTATGAATAAAAAGGGTTGTGTTGTCGAATGAATGTGTGTCTATCCTTGTGTGTATGCTATCTTGTAAAACCAAAATTGTTGGAACTTGGAAGGTTTTTATTTGGGCAGTCTCATTAACCTTCTCTTGGATAGGAATGGCAAGCCCAGCAACGTAAGAAGACCAAGGAGTTGCATCGGAGACGCAGACAAGAAGAAGAGGAAGAAGAAAGAAAGATGGAAGAGTATCGTGAAATTGGCTTACGTTTGAAGGAATACCCAGAAGAAGATGTCATTAAAGCAAGGAAACTAGTTTCCAGCTTTCTCAGGACTCCTGAAGAAGTGGAAGAGGTAATTTCTTGGTGCGGCAATATGCTGAATGACGTACAGATGAAAATATGTCCTCATGAGTTATAATGTGTATTTTCAACTTCTAAATTTAGTCATTATTATATCTCAATTCCTCATAAAAAATGATTCTGCATGTACAATGGATAAATGTTTAGGGCTTACCTTGATAAAATGTTTAGTAACCAAGCTAAAGCTTATATTGCTTTTTTCTTGACCATAAAAGAATCTTCTTTCTCTTCTGGTAAGCATGAAGAAACTAATTGCACTACAATCGACATACTTGATCTAACTATAATATGGAATTCAAGGGAGAAGTGACATCATAAACATCAAATTGAAGAAGACACAGGGTTATTCTTAACTTTATAAATTTGATACGTGAGCTGGGAAAAACTGACACGTATTAAAAAATAGAAAATCTTCATTTTTAAATGAAGGAAATTATGATATGGTTCACATAAAAGAAAAAAAGAAAGAAAAAAAAAAAAAACTCTAAGGACAAGCAAGATAATAAAGAAAGGAATGTAATGATCCTTGTCACGATAGTCTTTTAACATGTTCTTGCATAATTACCTCTTATTCAATAATATTCAGAGTATAACGTCTAAGTTCTTTATTTACTGATAGCTTGTGCATCACTTATGCATATAAAGAAAATAATAATATTATAAAGAAGATAATATAATTCTAGATGGCATAAGCCTTTTAATTTCTTCCTTTGACTGGTTTGTACATTTTTTCTCATGTATGCGTGTGCTTATTCAGAGATACTGACTTAACTTTTTCTGATAGAGAATTGAGGAAGCTGCTGAGAAAGGAGAACTTACTGAACTTGTTTTAATGGTCATATGGAATCGCCTTGATCTTGCTCGGCGTGATGTAAGTTGCTATTTTAGCATCTGATATTGTAGGCATATATTTCAATTAACGGGTGTGAAGGATTTCATTTTGTGATGAAAAAGAAGTAGGGATGTAGCATATATTTCTTACTTCTTTTCCATGTCCTAAAAATTAGATTATACATTTTTCTATTGGTTATTTAGATAGTTATTTGCATTTTTGGAAGATTTTAAGTCTCAAATTATCAGATTTTTGACAGCTTATGGTCAACAAAGTGGTGCTTTTTGAGGTAGAACTACAATTGTATTTAATTACAGACTAAAGATAGCACCATGTTTGTACATAATGTATAAACTTTTTGTAAATGTTAAAATACAAATATTTTATATTTGAATATTTGATGTATGTACCCATGTTTAGGGTTGGGGTTTACAATATGTTGCTAAAATGAAGTGGGTTTGAAGTTTTTTTATGAACATAATCTATTATGCTTTCTCTTGCTCTTTTTATTATTATAATTACAAAATTATTAAAATAATAATAAAATAATCTCTCTTTCTACTCATTTCTTTTCAACTTTTACTCATTTTTGTGTCTCATGTTCTTCCTTGCTTTCTCTTCCTTTATTTCTCTCCTCTCTGCCAAACATAGCATTAGTTCTGTGTCTACTTATGCAAGAACCATGGTATATTTTTTTTTCATCCTCTGGCTATCAAGATCTGGGTTTGTTATACATTATTTTATCAATCTTTGCAGGAAGAAAAGGATGCCATTAGAAGTCTGGATCTGTTATACAGAAGGGTTGAGGTAACAAATAACGATGGCCCTTTTTCTGGGACTATTATTCTCATTTGAATCATTTCAGTGAAAAGATTTAGTCAGTTGTCTCCCCTTGCTTACCGCAGAACAAAAAAATCGGCTTTTAAGAATTTCTTTTTTGATAACCATGTCATTGGTAGGGAGTATCTATCAGCTGCGTCGACAACTACTTTTTCCATCCACAACATTTGAATCTTTATTGAATTTAATGCTATAGTATATAAATTATTGTTTTGTATTACATTTTTAATAATACCTCGGAAATTCCTACAAAATTGTGTTTTTAAATAAATTTCTACCAAAAAAAACAATTTTAGTATATTAGGTCTGCGCTGTTTATCTTAACATCAATGCTTCTTTTCGCAGTCTTTACTCTCTTCTTTTAATTTGTTGTTCTTAATTATAGACTGAGATCTTGAAACGAGAGGCTACCCCTGCGATGAGATTGCTCAATGATCTTTTGATTATGTATGACGGCTATGATTTTGAAGAGTGGCTAAAGAAATGTAAAAAGGTCATGATTGATACATTTCCTTTGGAGGATCCATTTAGTGTTCTTGTTCCGCCAGGATTCGAGTCATTCGACATAGATAAGGTAAGCTGCTCCTGTAGATTATGCCTTACACCTTAGTCAAGTGATACCTTGTTGCTTCTTTAAGTTTGAAATTTTCCCCTCCATCTCGTGAAAATAACTGAAGCTATTCCAATATAACTATATGATTGAGTGCGTTTTATGGTGCAGTTGGAAGTATCAATACTACTAAGTGCTTTACTGAATCTGTAATTAAAATAATCAAATGTTAGTCCACTTCACCATATTAAATTAGGTAGTGTATTTGATTAAAACTATAAGTGAGAAGGTCCAGAGTAGATTATGTCTAAATTAAAAATAAGTTGAAAATCACTTGTTTTGAATCCCCTAATGAATCACTTGTGTGGAATTAGCATCACGGGCCATTACGACCATCTGTTGAAGTTGATGATACCCTTTTGAGGGTGGACTTCGTAAGGGAGGTGGATGAATTGCTGCAAGAAGTTCGTTCTCAAAAGAGTGAAGTACAAAATGAATCAAGGTTTGATCCTGAATCTGTCGCAAATAGACTGAAACAACAGGAGAAGCAACAAACAATACGGCAAGTTGAAGCGCTACTAGATTTAGCAATTGGTTTGAAATGGTAACTATTTTGGCCTAGCTTCCATTTTGATAGGTTTGCAACTGAAAAAGGGATTTAAAATACTTGATTGGGCAACCATTTTTGAAAAATCGAGCACGCATAAGAGCAGTGCTTGTGCTGTCCGAAAACCGTGATTCCAGTTATTCCTTAATGTACAGGCAAAAACTTGGGAGTTAAATGTTGAAATATATAGCATACTTCTTTTTCAAATCTATGGTTTGATGATAAAACATGAGTGGTATCATATTGAGGCAGAGTTGCTACATTTGTGCATTCCATCTTTAGTCACAAGATGATGAAGGGGTGAAGGAAAAGGAGGAATCTTCTTAACACTTGATATCTGATCTTGAATTTTTATTTTTATTTTTGTTAATTATGTGAAGATCTTAGTTCTTCTCTCTTGAAACAAATAAGAGTGAAACAAAAATATCATAAATAATGTTTAAATTTTGTATACTTGAACGAAAATGATGTAATATTTTTAAAATTATCGATTTTAGGTTTTTTTTTAAAGAATAGGTAAAGGACTTTTTTCTAACAAGACTTGTGCTTTTTAAGTTAATATTAGGTTATTTTTTATATTTTAAGGCTTTTATTTTATGTTCTTTTTATTATTATTATTATAAATTTAGTGTTTTTTATTATTATAAAAAATAAATATAATAACCATTATAATTATAATAAATAATAGGAAATATAATAATAAAATTGAAGATAAAATATATTTTCATACAAAAATTATGATAAATATTTATATTGAATACAATTAAAATTTTTTATTTTCTTTTATATTATTAATTCTTATATTAAATTTTTAATAATAGATAAATAATTGATTCTATATTACATGATCATAATATACGTGTATATGAATTTACTATCCAGAGTATATGTAAAATCAATCACACGTTCTCTAAGATTTACCAGAGAGAAATATATATACAGTGTATATAATATAAAATTAATTATGATTAAATAATGACATGAAAACAAAGCAAAATATTTTAATTATACTAAATACAAATATTTATATAATTACGATATGAAAATTATATTTACTTTAAAATTAATAATAATAATAATAGTCATATAAAAATGTAAAAAAAAAACGTCCATGAAAAAAAAACAGCTGAAATTGAGTGTTATAGTTTTAAAAAATAATTATGTTTGTAAATGTAATTTTTCTTATGTAGTATCTATTGACGTAATTTTGGAAAAGATTAAAGATTATTTAAATTGATAATTTAGAAAAAACAACTACTTACTTTTCATACTTTTGTCGAAAATGATTCCTGTATCAATTTTAAAAGTGTATTCAACATATTTATCTATAGTATTATAAAAAATAATATTTTTTATCAACTAGGAGACCTTTTTCCTTTTAAATAGAAAACCATTTCTCATATAAATAAGTTATTAACTCATAATATCTTTTCTTATCTTTTTAAACATTATAAAAAAAAAGTCAATTTTGTTTATTTCTTCGTGTTACTACTAGCAACTGAAAGCACATCATACGTTTCAAAGTATTTATATTTATGTTATTTACATTCTTGGTGGTAGGAAAAAATGTGATCAATTTCATTTTAAAAAAATAATCATTTAATCATTAAATTTTTTAAATTAATAATAATATATGGAAATAAATTCAGAAATAATTAATAAAATACATATTATATTTAATTTATAAAAATATTTCATGTCGATGGGTAAAGATGAACGTAAATCAACGTAGAAGTGTAATTATTATTTAGAGAAGTCAAATGTGTTTGATATATGTATTTTAATTTAATATATGTGTATTTGTGTTGATGATTGTAATTAGGATAATCATTTTGATTCAGGAAAATGGAATGACACTAAAGGTAACTCTAACTTTTATTGGATTAAATATTTGGTTGGTAAGGATTCTGTGAGTGTTATATATATGGCAATATCTTTTTGACATTGAAGGCTTGGTCATATAAGTAAAAAAATGACTTAATTACTTAGTTAAAAATGATATGTTTTTGGGATTGAAAGGTGTATAGTTAGAGATATTTCTTATTATATGGCTGGTAAACAAACAAAAATATTCTTCAAAAAAACATCTTGAGAAAGTCAAAGTTGCTTAAATTGGTGTATTTTGATGTTTGTGACCTATCGAAGGTAATTTTGGTTAGTGGTATACTTTACTTTTTTTACTTTTATTAATAATTATTTCAGGAAGCCATGAGTTTATGCACTATATATAAAGGATAAAGTACTTGAAAATTTCAAAAAAAAAATTATGCTTTGGTTGAGAGATAATCAAGTAAGAAACTGAAATACATTTGTACGGATAATGGTGATTAGTATCATGAACGCTTTGATGTTTATTGTAAGCAACAGGGTATCAAACATGAAAATACTCTTCCTAAAAAATCCTCAATGAAAAAACTCATTTTAAAACTCTTCAATTGAATAGTCTAGTAGAGATGATGAACAAAATTTTAATAAAAAGAGTTAAATGTATGCTTTTTGAAGCAAAATGACTTAAGTATTTTTTGAGCGAGAAATTGCTTGTATTAATGTATGTTGTTAATATTAGTCCTATAATTACTTTGAATATTGAGGTACCAGACAAAATTTGGTTTGACAATAATGTTAACTACGATCATTTGTGTGTCTTTAGTTACAAAACATTTGTTTATGTTTCAAAGGATGAAATATTCAAGTTAGATGTAAAGACAAAAGAGTGTATCTTTATTGGTTATGATCAAGATAAATTTGACTATAGGTTGTATGATCCTCTTGAGAAGAAGCTAATTATAAGTTGTGATGCATGGAAAACCAAACCATTAAAGATGAGAAAATTGTGCATAAGAAAGATATTAATCTCATTGATGGTAATTCGATACAATGGTTTATTCACAATCTGGATAAGGTCGAGACCGATACTCAAAATGATGAGCAACATGGTGATGTTGATAATCAACATGTTGGAGATGGAGTAGAGATTTCGTTGATGATGCTCAAGAGGAACATGACATGATAATGATGATTATGATGACACATTTGAATTACCACAAGTCCCTACCAAGAGGTCCATTAGGTTGAGAAAATTGTCTTCCAAATATAACTTTGAATGATGGTGAAAATCCTTGAGTGTTTTAAAAAAGCTTTGGAAAGTGAACAAAAACAAAATGGTTCGATGCAATGCAAGATGAGATGAAATCTTTACATGATAATCATACTTATAACTTGGTAAAATTTCCTAAGGGCAAAAAGGGAACAAATGGATTATTATGGTGAAGCAAGAGGCTAATTCTACATATCCAAGGTACAAAGTTATATTAGTAGTGAAAAACTTTAGACAAGGAAAGAGTGTTGATTTCAATGAAATTTTTTCACCTATCATGAAAATGTTGTTCATTAGAATTGTGTTAAGTTCAATTACTACCCTTAGTTTGGAGGTCGAATAGATAAATGTGAAAACAACTTTCCTTTATGGTAATTTAGAGGAAGAATTTTATATGAAACAATCTTATGGTTTTCTTGTTGAAGATAATGAATATTATATGTATAAACTAAAAAAGATTCTATACGGTTTGAAACAGACTTCAAAATAATGGTACAAAAGTTTGAGTCTTTTATGTGTGATCAAAATTATAAAAAGATTACTTTTGATCATTGTGTCTTGGTTAAAAAGTTATATGATGATGACTTTATTATCCTGTTGTTATATGTTGATAATGGTGTTAATATGATAACTAAAACATTGCCAAGATGAAAAGTTTGGATCTTATTGTGAGATCGTCGAATTAATTGTCACCTTCACATAATTGTAAGATGAGAGATGTGTTGGATTGTGCTGAAATTTGGATAGAAGGTCCATGAAATATTGTTCTTCATTTTGATCATTAAGATCGTCAATTAGAGGTATGTGGTTGAAAAAATTAGTATTGCACTATGGTTGAATTAATTTTAGGTTTATTTCTTTATTCTTAAAATTTGGGAGCATTATTACTTTGATATATTGGTTGCTTGTAGACTCTTATTTGTATAGTTGAATTTACTCTCTTGTTCACATGTTTTAGTTGAACTTAATTCACTTACTTGTGCCCAAGGTTTTTACTTCTCATATGATGATGTTTTTTCACGTTAAAAATAATGGTATTCTCTTTTATGGCTATTATTGTCGTTTTCTTTAGTATTTTTTATATATTTTTGCAAGTTTAGAAAAATTATTTCCCTTATATACTTTGTATTTTTGGTTATTGTCTTATTATTTTTTGTATTATATATATAATTGAATAATTAATTATTAATACCACACTTAATTATTAAATATTATATCAAATCACTTACTAATATTATATAAACTATTAACTTATTAAAATTTGGCACTAATACGCACTACTACAGAAAACACTTTCTACGACAGCATCCAACGTCGGTTATCACGAAGACCGACGTTGTACAAGACGCGGTGGCAAACTTGTAATTATGAAACAAAATTTAACGTCGGTTATATAATAACCGACGTAGTAACTACAATTCAACGTCGGTTATATGACAGACGACGTTAAATGTTTAAATTTAACGTCGGTTATGTATAACCGACGTTGAATTCCCAAAATCAACGTCGGTTACATGATTTACCCGACGTCGAAAGCGTTATCCACGTCGGGTTTTTTAATAACCGACGTTGAATGTCCTTTATACCTCTCCTCCTAGGCGCGCTGCCCCTCGTCACGCTTCTTCTTCGTCCCACATACTCCCTCCTTCCGCTTCTTCTTCGCTGTGCCTCGGTCCTCACTGCTGCCCCCTCGCCGCCTCTTCGCGCCCACTTCGCCGCCCCTCGCTCGCCCCCTCGCCGCCCCTTCGCCGCCCACTCGCCGCTGCTACCTCATTCGCTGTGGTCTGCTGCCTCAGTCCTCACTGCCGTGCTCTGTCCCTCGCCACCCCTTCGCGCCCACTCGCCGCGCTCTCATCGAGTTAGATTAAGTTGTATGGATGATTTACAGCATGCATTTAACATAA